AGGAATTGCCCTCACAACAGGCACAAACTGCTGCCTGTTGCCCTTTTGTTGTACATGTAGCTGAGAAAAGTTTGCTTCTTTTCTCTACACAAAAGCTGAAGAATGCAGTGAGATCCCACCCCGAACTACACCCTCCTCCCTTCCTCCTGAGCAGGCTGAACACACCCAGCTCGCTCGGCCTCTTCTTGTGTCACTGCTGCAGCCCCCGAGCATCCTACCGGCCACAGAACCCCCTGGTAGCTGAGGCTGGAGGGGATCTCCCCTTCTCTCCCATATATTCTGTCCTTCCATAGAACGACTTTAATAGATCCTAATTTTGTCCACTCCAAACGGCAAAAATTTTGCTTCTGGGAATCACCTCATCCTCTCTTCTGGGGGATTCACTACCAGTTCTTAAATCCTACACCAAGGTCTGAAGTTTATACTTGTAATCCTCCCAGCCACACTGCAGCACTAAAAACAGGAAGGAGGGAAAAAAGCGAAGGAAGCGTCGGCTTGTACATGCCGCCTGCCTGAGCCTGCTGACAGCCTTAAGCGATATTTGCATATTATGAAGAGTTAATTGATTTCAGGGGGTTGCTAAAATTGATCTTTAAGGATGAAGATTTACATGCCAGTGTAACTAATTATTTATAGCTGCTATCAACAGCGATAGCCCACTCCTGTTAACTAACAGTCCAAAAAAAACTCCCCAGGTGAAAAAAACACAACCATTTTGTATTTATGTGGACTGAAAGAAATCCAAAAGCTGTTCAACTCCTTCCTGACAAATTTTACAGTGCAGTTAAGCTTTGGTAGTACAAAGAAAAGACAGCAGCACAATCAAAATAAATTCTAATAATCAATTATACATAGAGCGCTCCGAGTTGGATTCAAATCTCTCACTTGTTTTAGTACCACTTGTTTACTGTGGGAGTTTCTTTTCCTTTTCCCTCTCCTTTTTGTGCTTAATCTGGAAGATTTTCATTAGTAAAATATTAATTCTTTATGCTCTATTTTCTGCAATCTCCTCTTATGTTTTAGTTTCTCACCATTTAAGACAAGAGCAGGATCCACAATCACCCTCCAGCTTTTTCAACCCTCATATAATTGGTTATAAGCAACACATTCATTATCATCATCCAGATAATTAGAATGCCTGTCTAAGTATAAAAGCAGAAATGTTACCTCAGAAGAGCGCTCCCTAAGGAGGGGACACTTCAGAGTTCATGGTTTTTGAAACTAAGCTCTTATTTTACTAAGCAGATATGAAAATCATTTTCAGAACTTATTTTTACAGAATTCATATGATGTAGAACGCACTTACAGAGAAGCTGCTCTGAAAGCCTTTTGTCTGAAAAGGGCCTCTATGGAAAAAGCTCTTTGATTGCCTTGGATGAGATGATGTTATTAAAAGAATTGTGAATGTCAGGAAGCACCAAGTTAATACAGATTTAAATTACTTAAACACAATGCAGTCTCTTTTTTGGGAGCAAATCCAGCCATTTTCAGGCAGGTTTTCCCACAGCCACAGAAGCAGATTAGAGATCCAGGGGCCAAGTCGAGTCTCACACCGGTGTGCTGCCCCAGACTTGTAAAGGCAAAGCAGGTACTGTGCACCTCACACACGCGCTGTAGCATCCTCAGAGTACCTGCAGCGCAGTGTGGAGCAGGAAGGAACTGGAGGTCTAAACAGGCTAAAACCCTACTTAACGTAGGTATTTCTGAAGCATTTACCTTGCTGCAAATCTCGACTCACACGTGCTCATTGAGATGTAAACATTAATGTCACTGACAATCCAAAGTACTTTTGTCTACGTTATTGTGTTTATTAACACGAAATGAACTCGATTTGACACAGCACTGCGGACAGAGCGGCAGCGGGTCCCACTCCACGGGCAGCACGGCCGTGCTCACCCCCTTTGGCTACACTGTACCGCAGCGGTTAATGCAACGCCAGCAGCTCCGGCGCCACATCCCCCGGCAGATGCCACGCGGCACCGGCTGCACCGGCTCGGCTCGTTTCATGCTGCTACACCAACCCTACGCCAACTCCCAGCTTCTCACCTAACCCTGCTCAGTGCGTAGCAGAAGCAGACTAAAGAGACGGGGGACACAAAGTTTAAGCAGTTGCACAATTTAGCACCCCTCTGCGCTCAGCTGGCCATACTGCGGGAGGGAGGATTCATTCTGCTCCCGACCTAACGGCGCAACGTGTTTCTAAGGCATCTGCCCAAGACAATGGAAAGACTCCAGCTAACTTCAATATTGCAAAATCTAATCCTAATTCATCAGCTTGCCAGCTTGCCAAATGTCAGCTGCCTGTGATGTCTGCACCGATGAAAGCAGCCAGATAAGTAAATGCAAAGAAGTAAAATTATTTGCCTGCAGATGAGAGATTATAGAAGATTTTAGTCATCCTTGATTTTTTCCTGTTATTTAACTGCCGAGACATAAATTAACGTCTGGCTCTGGTGGTTTATGCAACTCCTCTGTAGCACTAAAGTCAAACTCCTAGTTTCCACCTCAGAGAATCAGATCTGAAGTCTGTCTAAAAAGAATGTGCCTCCGCCGGATCTTTACTAGCCTAAGCACCAGCTGACTCCAAGCTCTTATCATGCTTCTTTTAAGATACTCTGAAAAGGTTTTGACATCATCATAATCACGAAATAAGAAACATTGATCCCGCTAAGCAATGAAAAAAAATACCAACTGAGTTTTGCCGAGGAAAACATAGACACTTCTGCTGGTGTGTGCTTTACATCGCCGGCTGAAGATGTCAGCCTGCATCTCTCAGGCTAAATGCTTGGCCGAAGCGGCAGCGCACACAGAGCCTTTGCCCCACAGGGTAACTCGCTTTGTTTCTTTTGCTGACTTCCTGCCACTTGTAGATTCCTTTTCTCATCTGAGATAAATGAGAAATCAAACAATCCAGTACACTTCCACAGGAAAATACCGAAAAGACCTCAGGATTTTCCACCACTGACCATTAGCAGCACTTCTGAAAACAAATTAGTGAACCAACAATCTTTAACGCGCCAGAACTAAAATCCAGTAACCTCAGACCTTGCCAGAGATGTGGGGTTCAGCCACCGTTTCGATTCAGACTGGGACCAAGCTGAAGTCCCAGAAACGAATGGCCACATCTGAGCATCCCGACTGACGATGCACTTGCGGCAGACCGTATACGCACAAGCTCTGGGGTCGGTTTTGGTGAGCGTTGGAACGGTTTGACAGAGTCTGGCACACATAGGTTCTAGCTAAAGCAGGAACTCTGATCTTCGAGCTCCTCTTCATCACTTGTTTGTGGTAAAGACCCCATCAAACTTGTGGTGCTAAACAAGAAAATCAAATTTCTCAGGACTGCTTAAGAAGACTGCATGCACCCATAGTTTTTTGTACGCTTATTCCCACAGACCCCAGGTATTTTGTATGCTTATTTACAATATTGACTGTCAAAGGTACCTGGTTAAAATGATTACTGCACACAGCATGGCTAACTTTTAAATGTAAATTGTATGCAAATATATGCAATACCATCTTTAATGCAGATGTAGCAAAACGTACTAAGATGTGTAGGGCCTAATTAGGTCCTACATCAAAAACTATGTATCAAAACTTGACTCCAAAGTCTCAGCAAAATAAATTTGAGCTGGAAATCCCAGTGTACGCTCCTAGGGAAGCGGGAGGAGTAGCTCTTTGCCTGCGACTCCTGAAAGCTGTAGAACCCAACAAACTCCAATAAGCGTTTTGTCCATTCTTCCTTCAGACAAAGCACTTCCCTTTTACGCAAGATGCAGATACAACGGCATGGCTGTTTAACTCTCTTCTGTCGCTTAATATTTAAAACAATGAAATAAAGCCTTCGTGTGTTACCTGAACTGTAGATGAAAGTCAACAGTAGGGACACAAAAAATCCTGGGCAATGTAAGGCTCGGCCTAAATAAGGGGGGGGAGGAGGGGAAGAAAAAAACGCATGGCTTATCTTTTTTAAGTCAGGGGCTGCTTGGCACTGGCCCTGCCAGTGGAGCTCTGATTACTGAATTCATTGGAATAGAAAAGCACTTGCAGATCGCAGATTCCAGAGACAACAGTCAGCCTCGGGGACCTGCATTATTAATATACCAAAGTAAATGAGGCAGGTGACAGCCTGCAGTCGCTGATCAGGTACGTAGCACTGAGTGGGATTTCCCCCACATCCACATACTTCTTCGCTTTTAAACACTTTTGTTTCTAAACAGAGAGCCTACATTTTGGGGTGCGACTGGCAAACTCCATGGAAGGCAAGGACTGCACAGAGCCTGTGTACGTAGATTTCCAACAGAAAGGAAATCCGTCTTACATCAGGCCATAAGGAAAGCCAAGGAAGACAGACTTATTCCAAGCAGGGTACCAGTCTGAGTGCTGACTGGAATTGAAAGCAGGCCTAGCATCAGAGACCAGAGAAAAATCTGACCACATCCCCTTCCTGGAAAGGAAGCAAGTGTAAGCTCTAGATGCTCATGAGCAGCTATGGAAAAGTCATAAGACCCACTCCACCCTCCCGAGGCACTTGGAGAAAAGGACACGCGACTCGCCACTCAACACATATCCCCTTGTCAGGAAGGAGCTAACACCTTCCCTTCCTGCCCCGGTGTGCACAAGCCCGGAGATGTTCCTTCGCCAACTAGAAGCCAAGTGTTTTCTCATCCCTTTTCTCCACCCCACTGTCCCCTCTGTTCTAACACACACCTGGAATTCTCCTTTAGCTGGGCTGCTTGGAGGCATCTCCCAAGCCCACCCCACACCTGCCCGCAACCACGCCTTTCCCCAAGTCACAGAATGGGGCTGCAATAATCTGGGTATTCAGCTGGACTACAAATCTACAGAAAATTTGATGCCGCTTGCTTCCTAGATCTAGTGACATTCCAATTTCTTTGAACAAAGATGCTGCAAATTATTCACTGTGAAATACGAAGCTTGCTTTCCATTTTAATTTTGTTCCATTTCTATCTCTGTATTTCCCTTATATCTATTTTTCCAGCATGATGAGAAAAAAAATCTGAGGCACCACGTCAGCCCCGTCCAAGCCAGACATAACATCCTGCGTATGCTGCCCAGGGTATTATAAAAAATGCCTTTCATTTCTCTCCCCTCAGCCCCCGTCACACAGCCCGTTCCCCGCTGCGGCCCACGAGCCAGCAGCGCCTTCCAGCAGGCTGCACGCTGGAACTCCTCGGCTCTCGCATTCCTACCGACGCAAACAGAGCTCACTGCTCTCAGACTAGGATGGACTCAGCAAGCGTATTCTTTCCGTCTTCTGAAAAAATAGGGTGGGGGTTAATACTGGCCGCAGCTCAATTTTTTCCAGCTTTAACAGACACCAACAAACCCTCTCCGAAGCCTGTCCAGGGCATCGTATCACCAACAACGAAGTGAAGCAGCTCACTGCTCCATACCGTGCCACCGGATAAATGAGTACCTGGGAAGACTGCAATTATGAGACGCTGGAAAAAGGACACAGAGGGAAGCAAAGCTGGTCAAATGCTCATTTGCTGACAGAGCAAAGGAGTGGGCAGAGTAGCTCCAGCAAGGGGACCTTCCGGATGCTGGCCCCTTTCGGCACAGGCATCGCAGCCCTGGGGCTGTCACCAGGCTGGCTGCTGCTGCCTGCAGACGACTCGCCATTCCCGCACTCTTGCCGGCACTGCAGCACTGTTCTGAGCCGCGTATTTGAATTAACCAGGCCCAGAGGATAGAACTTTCAAATTAAACACATTCCTACAGGATTTCAGGCTCATTGTGTATGCACCAAGGAAACATAACATCCTAAAAATAATACATATACAGAAAGCACATTTTGCAGGCATATTAAAGTAGAATATGAATTATAAGCAAGCTCATGGGAGAAGACGTCAGATTCCATGCAAAAAGGAGCTTTTGTAAATAACATCATTCTTTGTAAGAGATCACAGTTAGCATCAGCCATTTAATTTGCTCACTAACAACGCCTCGACCATTGCTGAAATTGTCCACTTTTTCCCCCTACTGAATTGTAAAGCCCCAGATATTACAGAGTTCAAGCTAACAGCTGTACAGACTACTAATCATCAACTAGATGCTATGCAGTAGAGGCTATTTCACGCTCGCTGTTTAGATACATATCGCACCAAGCTGCCATCATTAGAGTACTACATTCAGAAAGTGTTACAGCTTTTGGTAAGATTTAATCGGTGTCAATGCTACAAGTTTATGTCTACCAAATTGCATTGCAATCTTCACACCAAAGAACTCGTCACATTAAAAATATTAAAATATAATACTACCGATTCAGAAAACTTCAGTAAAGGCAACATCTGTTTAGTTTAGACTATTAAAGCAAAAACTTTAGTGTTATTTTTGTGGGATTTAGCCTTTTAGGCACAGATTCACAGGGTCCTAGTATCTCAGATTACTAAATATGACAGAATATTTAAGGGCTTTGCACAGTAAGCCCAATGAAAAATTCAAAATCCCTCACCGGAATTAGTAGTTTAGCCCCAAGCAAAACAGAGATGTTATTGCAGTAGAACCAAAGTCTTCCAAGCTGGCCCTCAGCTTGATTTCACTGATAAAAAAAAAAAAAATTCATACCAGTCAGTTTGCTTTGCTACAGTCCCTTTACAAGCTAGCTGAAGCTGGTACAGAGAAACTGCAATCAAAAAAAAAATGTTTTGAGCATCTGAGAAGCACTTATTCCTCTCATCTCTTATATTAATTTATGACTAGCTTTAACCTCGAGTCTGAAATGAATCAGAAGATGGTGAATGGGAGGCTCTTAGTGGTTAGAGCCTCATTTGAAATGATAAGGCCTCTACTCCCAGCTCTGTCAAGACGAGCTTTCCCTTACAAGGTACCCCTCCTGGAAGAGTAAATCAGGCGCTCAAGCTCGGCACTTACATCAGCGGTCTAATTTCGGAAGCATCAGACAACTCAGGATGCACAATCAAATCCTCAAAAGCTGAGAGTGAAATTCAGATCACTTTTGGTGTGCCAGTCATTTCTCCCTACATTTTGAATGTATTAAAATTCATCACACTGTACAAGTCCCACTCACATGCTAAGGCAAATAAAAGTCATTAAGTAAAATCAATAAATGTAATACTACAACAGCAATAGGTGAAAAGCAGCGTAATTCCATTCCCACCAAAGGCAGCCGGCCTTCTCCAAAGGTGGCTCCCCCGCCCCGCCGGTGTTTCAGGGCTGCATGAGGGGTGCCCCACAGGGGGCCGCAGTCCCTGCATCAGGGACCCAGCGTCCCTCCAGACTCTGAACTGCCTGTGCCAGCGGCTGCAGGGTGCTGCCCAAAATAAACCCCAGTCACATGTTTCAGGCAGCAGAACGCTGAGAGACATCACAGCAC